TGGGTTTGGCTTGGGGTTTAGGGTTTGGGGTTTGGGGTTTAGGGTTTGGGGTGTAGTGCTTGGGTTTCATGCCCGCTGATACAGCCTTGTATAATGCTTCAGATCGGGATGTTAAACAAAACCGGTGTCTCATTCATGAGTGCTGTCGTACGGACTGAGGGCTTTGATGAGGGTTTGCCCGGTGTATACACTAGTTAGGGTTTGAGCCTTCAGGGTTTAGGTTTTGTGATCACAGGAGTTTCGTGTTAAAGGTTGAAGAATATTAGGATTGCTTCCAGTTGGGGGATGTTTTGGGGTTGTGAGCTTGGCCCACGTTGCTACTTATAATGAGTTTGGCGAAGTCGCTGCGTGATGGGCTTGGCGTTTGAATGACCTGCGGTTCTGACACGTGTGGTTTCGGACTTGCAAAGGTTCGGCACAAAAGCCAGAGCCCGAAGCCCACAATCTGATCTACAAGTTTCATAAAGCCTGCTGGAGTCCGATAGAACCCGCTGTAGAATCCTGTCATGTACTATCTATCAAAGTGTGACAACTTCTTGCAACACTCCATGCTGCCTCTGAAATTCCTCTAAACAAAACTCTTTCTTTAATCACTCATACCTACAGTCTCAGTTGTAGTTCCGTTTTTGGTTAACCAATTTTATGGTTAGGATCCTGTAATAAATCTGGCTTAGCCAAAACAGGAACTACAACGGAGACTCCAGATAGGTATACGTATTGATTCATCCCTTAAAGAAACCCTTATAGACCCCAGAAAAAGAACCCTTCTAGGTCCCTTAAAGGAGCCCCTTAAAGGAACCCAGATGTCTCGGCTGGGCCTTCAGCGCAGCGACGTGAGGGGCTTCGAGGGCAGCGAGCGCCTCTACTGGGATGTGGCAGCCTGGAGAGATTGGTTTAGGGTTTAGGGCGTTTTGGTTTCCCAAACGGTCGAACGTATCTATATGAGTGCGGGCCGTGCTGTCAAGCTTTTTCCCGCATGGCAACCTCCCAGGATGTCATCCATGGTAAGATCCGCGAACCTGACCTTCTGTCTGGCACTGGGCACAAAAGTTCGAGTGCGCGTCTCCCTTCGCTTGTCTCTAGCCTCTTTCCGCGCCTGGCGTTGCTTTTCTAGCCGTTCCAATCTACGCCTCCTCTTTTCTTTCTGAGCGCGCTTCTGTTCTCGCTTCTCCTCTTGCTGGATCTGGCTGCGCCACGTCCGCAGCAAGGTGCGCAAGCGACACAGCATCAGTTCGGAATGTGTTCGTCTCGGTCGGGCGGATCTGGCCTGTGCTTGTTTAAAGCGACGATTGTGCATGCGCCGCACCCGCACTGGCATATGGCATGGCTTGTCGTGCATGGCCATGTGATGGGACTCCCAATGTCTCAACTGTCGCTCCCGATTTCCCACACAGAGTGCATGCTTGGATCGCAAACGTTTTAGGGCCTTGTCACTCGAAAGCCCTTGGCTCTCCCACATCCACGCGACTACCTGCTGAAGTTGCTGCCACTGTTCCTCCATGTCCGCAAGGCCGTGCACCCAAAGCTTGCTCTTTCGTCCCTGGTAGTGGCCGCGCTTACCCACCGCCCAGCGCAGAGGGCACAAGCGCCTCGAGGGCAGAAATCAATCCGAAGGCGTGCCAAATCTGGTCTGGCTGATCTGAGGTTTTACGATTACTGCAGGCTGGCAAAGCCCTCATGAGCCGAAAATGAGAACACTAGGCAACTGTCCCAGTTCTTGTCCATCTCTTGGGTCCTCGACCATGAGCTAAGACAACCAAGCTAAAACTAAAATTACGGTTTAGGGTTTAGGGTTAACTAGACTAAAACTGCCATGCAAGGCACTCACGCTGTTCTGCCAGATCGGTGGCACTTCGCAACGACGGGCAAGGCACCTTGGTCCCGTTAAACCCCTCTGGCGAGAAAAATCCTTTGAATGTCGAGCAAGCAAACCTGTAAAAACAAAAGCCAATGGCTTCTACAGCAATCTGAGCAACTACAGCGTTTTTACCCAGAAAGAAGCCGTGATAGTGCAGAACATGAAAACGTAGCCCCAACTCATGAACGCTTCGGCGGTGCTCTGCAGCAGAAGACTCAACGGCTCTCCGGAGGCGGGAGGCATAGTCGTTTTCGGTTTCAACCTGACTCATTCTTTGCTTGATAGCTGTCAAGACGACCAGATGCTCAAGGGCTGTTGGCAGGTCTGTGTATCGCGTTCGCACCCTCACGTTGTCAAAAAGAACGGTCGCAAAGTACCAGACCCCAGCACTAGTCATACGGCAGATACCGCGGGACACTTTCTGTCGTCGCTGGCATGAGGAGGAGGGTTGAGCTGCAGGCCCCTGGTGTAGTTCACGCCCGTCAGAAAAGCTGCAACCTGTGCTGCACGAGTCTTGAATGGCAAGCTGAGCCTGCTTCATACCTCGGCTGGGAAGAGAAGCCTGCGATTCTGAGGCAGGTGGTGTCGCGCTTCCAAGTGCCTTTGGCACGTTCTGCGACGGCTGATCCACCATCCACTTCTCGAGCTGCATGCGTTGCTGCTGAGTGAACTCATCGCGGATCACAGGCAGACGAAGTTCTGGTGTCAAATTCTTCAAGAGCGCGCAGACCTTCGGCAAAAAACTTGCTGTATTGCCTGCAAGCCTTGACGCTGCATGTGGCTGTGGCCGCTGCTCCTTCTTTTCGTTCGTACGCGGTTGTCGCGTTGGCTGGCTGGCCTCCTGCTTCTTGCGCTTGCCAGAGCCTGTAGACCTGCTAGGTCTCTTGAAAACCTCTGCCGAATGCTTGCACCTTGGGTCGCCGCTCTGATTCATATCGTACTTTGCACGAGCTGCAGGGTCTGCCAGAATCTCGAAAGCCTGGTATGCCAGCTGGAAGCTCTCCTTGAAGGGAATGGTCACATGTAGTTACGGAAACTAACTGACATATGCAAAGAAAGAAACAATTGATATGAATATACATATATATATATGTGTACACATATTATATATGTATGTATAGCTAGACTATGTGCATGCCTGTCATTTGCAGCTGGGGTCGTTGTTACGAAATGAATGTTCGATTGCTCTGGACAGTTGGTTCTTATATCAACCAGCCAAGTCTGCATGTAAAGTCGTGCATGCCTCAAGCATGTGTATATAAATACGTAGGTGGGTATGTATGTGTATATGTACGTATGTATACACACATATGAATATGTGTGCCCGATACCTTTAGGATCTATATAACCACGTTTTGTTATCTTCA